TTGGTTGATGAGAGTTATTCCTTAACAAATCTGCATGAGCTTAGGGTATTCTGGTGATTGCCATATCTTTCTAGCCATATCTTTGGTAATTAAAAAAAAACCTATTGGGTAATTGAGGGGGGGAGAGTATCTTGTTGTAGTATCCATACTTATCTCAGTGTTTAAAGAGATCGTAGGAGTGATTGAAATGGAAGGTTGTTCACTGGTCTGTCATTTAGAATAACAGAGTTGGAAGGGACTTTGGAGGTCTTCTAGTCCAACCCCCTGCTTAGGCAGGATACCCTACACCACTTCAGACAAATAGTTATCCAACATATTTTTAAAAACTTCCAGTGTTGGAGCATTCCCAACTTCTGGAGGCTAGTTGTTCCACTGATTAATTGCTCTAACTATCAGGAAATTTCTCCTTAGTTCTAGGTTGCTTCTCTCCTGGATTGGTTGCCATTCTTTGCTTCTTGCCCTGCCTTCAAGTGCTTTAGAGAGTAGCTTGACTCTCTCTTCTTTGTGGGAATCCCTGAGATATTGGAAGACTGCTATCATGTCTCCTGTAGTCCTTCTTTTCATTAGACTGGACATACCCAGTGCCAGCAACCATTCTTCGTATGTTTTACCCTCCAGTCCCCTAATCCTCTTTGTTGCTCTTCTCTGTACTTTTTCTAGAGTTTCAACATCTTTTTTACATTGTGGGTGACAAAAACAGGATGCAGGATTCCAAGTGTGGCCTTACCAAGGCATTATAAAGTGGTATTAACACTTCACATGATCTTGATTCGATCCCTCTGTTTATGCAGCCTAGAACTGTCTGTGGACTTCAACTCCCAGGATTCTCTTAACATGGTCAGAAAGAGAAGGGGGGAGAGAGAGATGGATGGATAGATGACAGATGAAAGAGAGGGAGATAGGGAGAGGAAGGGGGGGAGAGAGATGGATGGATGATGGATAGATGACAGGAGAGAGAGAGAGAGACACAGAGAGAGAGAGAGAGAAGGGGAGGGAGGGAGAGGGAGAGAGGGACATTGGAGCAACAAAGACTTTGTGGCTAGAGCAGCCTCATTTAGTAGTCACTCTAGCCTGTCATCTTTTGTGTTGAAAGCCAGAAGGGTAGCTAGCTCTCCTATCCAATTGCAAAAAGTATGAAGAATCAAGATAACTAAACCAGCAGCAAAACATGGTCATAAACTCTAATTTGGAAACTCTTAACCAGAAGATCAGCCACGAAAGGAAGAATGGGAATTTTGCTTTCTCTCTCATATGAAAAGAAACCAAGCATCAAAATACAGAGGAAACTCACCTAAAGCTGGTCAATTAAACATATCCAAATACACAGCAAATCTATCTCATGAAGGGGGTGGTATATTAAATTGATTAATAGCAATAACAACAACATTACTTGGAACAGTTACATCCTGTGATCATACTTATAACACTAACAAATAACACCTGTCTGTCCTAAACCTGGGGCAGGACTCAATGGGTGAATAAAAATGCCAAATCCAGTCTGAGCATCTGGCTGAGTGTATAACCAACCACAATAAGAACAGATATTTCTAAGAAGCAGCCATAAAAATCCACACAGATCACACTCACAATGTGTCCAGGTACATTTGTATAACAGAGATAAGACCCATCCACTCTGCAATTCCACAGTTACATCAAATATCCTTGACTCAGAGATTACAAATCCCAGCCTCAGGATCTCCACTGACTAACATACTAAAAGATCTCCCAAAGGTGCTTTTTTCAAGAAGCAACTGGACTGTCTTGTTTTTCTTTGAAGACGTTTCACTTCTCATCCAAGAAGCTTCTTCAGCTCTGACTGGATGGCAGGGAATGGAAGGATTTATATTCCTTGCAAACAGCTGGTCATTTGTATTTTTTTAGAGAGTTGTTGAGGCCACTTGGAGGTTTATCTGTCCCTGCAGGGTCACCTGAGAGGTCCAAATGGGACCTTGGAACTGCTGTAAGGACTGTGAAATTCCAAGAAGTTTCCACACCCATTTGCACTACTCAGGTGACCCTAAGGACCCAGATGAACCTCCAAGTGGCCTCAATGACTCTCAAAAATAAGGCAAATGACAAATATAAACCCTTTTGTTCCCCACCATCCACTCAGAGCTGAAGAGTCTTTTTGGATGAGAAGTGAAACATCTTCAAAGAAAAGCCAGAAAGTCCAGTTGCCTCTTGAAAAAGCACCTTTGGGACAACTATGACCTGGATAACTGAGAACTTCCATAGACAGATACTCAAGAGTTGTAAAGTGTTTCTTTTGGAAAGGATGCTTAACAAAATTTGGAGAGATATTAAGATAATACGAGGGCTATCCACAAAATAGATTACATTTTCGTCTGTAGCAAGAAGGGGCGGAGCTAGCATGGCCATCTTTGGTCTGTGCGTCTGCCGCTCAGTCTGCATCTAGTCGTGCTAATGGGAGGTTTGTATCGTTGCCCGTTATTTCACAGCAAATGTTTGAAATGTGTGCTGCAATTGAAAATCCCGCGAGTTGTGAGATGCGATCAGTGATAAATTTTTGTTGGGAAAAAACCATAAACCGATTGAATTTTTTCGGCAGCTGTGTGAAGTGTACGGGGACAACATCATCACTGAAGGTGGAGTGCGCCAATGGTGCGTTAAGTTTAAAAATGGCCGAACTACGGCACTCGAGAAGTCCTGAATGCTTTCAAGTGGGAGATTTTTCCTCATCTGCCCTACAGCCCCGATCTTGCACTAAGCGACTACCACTTCTTTCTGAGGATGAAGACCTGGCTTGGAACACAGCTCTTTGACGCTTGAGATTTGAGCCAGTCAGTCATGCCCGCCTGCAGTTCCGCGTTGACGTCAAAGCGCTGTGTTCCAAGCCAGGTCTTCATCCTCGGAAACAAGTGGTGGTCGCTTGGTGTAAGATCGGGGCTGTAGGGTGGATGAGGAAAAATCTCCCACTTGAAAGCATTCAGGACTTCTCGAGTGCAATTTGCTGTGTGTGGTCAGGCATTGTCATGCAAAAACAAAATTTGTGAGCTTAACTTCCCTCTACGCTTGTTCTGAATTGCTTTTCTTAGTTTTTCAATTTTTCAATTAAAATTTCAATAGGTTTATGGTTTTTTCCCAACAAAAACCTTATCACTGATCGCATCTCACAACTCGCGGGATTTTCAATTGCAGCACACATTTCAAACGTTTGCTGTGAAATAACGGGCAACGATACGAACCTCCCATTAGCACGACTAGATGCAGACTGAGCGGCGGATGCACAGTCCAAATATGGCCGCACTAGCTCCGCCCCTTCTTGCTACGGACGAAAACGTAATCTATTTTGTGGATAGCCCTCGTAAAAAACAAATACAGGTAATCCTCAATTTACAACAGTTTGCTTAGAGTTTTTAGACCATTCAAAGTTACTGAAAAAAGTGAATTATGACCACTTTTCACACTTACGACCATTGCACATAAAGCCCTATGGTCACATGATCAAAATTCAGATCCTTGGCAACTGGTACATATTTAGGACAGTTGCAGAGTCCCTGGGTCATATGATCACTTTTTGCGACATTCTGACAAGCAAAGTCAATGGGGCAGCCAGATTCACCTAACAGCCATGTTACTAACTTAAAAATTGTAACAAATCACTTAAAAATAGTGGCAAGAAAAATCATAAAACGGGGCAAAACTCACTTAACAAATGTTTGACTTAGCAACATAGATTTTGGGCTCAGTTGTGGCCAAAATTCGAGGACTCCCTGTAATCTGGAAAAGCACCATTTTCACAACTACGAGGGCTATCCACAAAATAGATTACGTTTTCCTCTGTAGCAAGAAGGGGCGGAGCTAGCGTGGCCATCTTTGGACTGTGCATCCGCCGCTCAGTCTGCATCTAGTCGTGCTAGTGGGAGGTTCGTATCGTTGCCCGTTATTTCACAGCAAACGTTTGAAATGTGTGCTGCAACTGAAAATCCCGCGAGTTGTGAGATGCGATCAGTGATAAGGTTTTTGTTGGGAAAAAACCATAAACCGAATGAAATTTTAATTGAAAAATTGAAAAACTAAGAAAAGCAATTCAGAACAAGCGTAGAGGAAAGTTAAGCTCAAAAATTTTGTTTTTGCATGACAATGCCTGACCACACACAGCAAATTGCACTCGAGAAGTCCTGAATGCTTTCAAGTGGGAGATTTTTCCTCATCCGCCCTACAGCCCCGATCTTGCACCAAGCGACTACCACTTGTTTCCGAGGATGAAGACCTGGCTTGGAACACAGCGCTTTGACGACGACGCAGAACTGCGGGCGGGCGTGACCGACTGGCTCAAATCTCAGGCGCCAAAGCGCTGTGTTCCAAGCCAGGTCTTCATCCTCGGAAACAAGTGTTAGTCGCTTGGTGCAAGATCGCGGCTGTAGGGCGGATGAGGAAAAATCTCCCACTTGAAAGCATTCAGGACTTCTCAAGTGCCGTAGTTCGGCCATTTTTAAACTTAATGCACCATTGGCGCACTCCACCTGCAGTGATGATGTTGCCCCCGTACACTTCACACAGTTGCCGAAAAA